ACAATGCCCCGCTATTCTAAGGGCGTATAACGCTAGAGTTTCAAACTGGCTTCGTCCCACTTTTAAGCGTGCCCGAGCCAGTGGGGTAAGGGCTCAATAGTGTTCGGATGAGGTATGGGAAAACCTCGTCCGCCAATGGTCTTCGGATCCGACTTTCTTGGCTAGAAGCGAAGCCGGGAAGAAAAATCGGATGTCCAAGAAGGCATTAACGACACAATGGCACGGAGGCCGCAAACCTCAGAGTAAACATAAGGAAGCTCTTGTAAGTCTTATTCAAATAAACCCTACACCATTTTAACCCTTCATTTTTTACATTTATTTATGGATTTTAAGCCTTTTTTGGACCATGTAGGCGGGGCCTCAGAAGAAGAGGGTCTCTATCCTCAAGGTCATCAAACACTGTTGGACGAAGAATGGTGAGGAGTCGGAAGCCGATCTGCCACCCCGCCTTGCTGAAATTGAAGTACGTAACATAAATTTTATTATTTCAAATCAAAGTACGTAACATAAACTTTATTATTTCAAATCGAAGTAAATATCATTTCTGTAATTTTTGTAAATGCTTGTAGACAAAGTATAACGCAAATGTTGAGAAGAAGCGGGTGGAATTAAGCTTGTCCCAGGAGGATGAGATCGATTTTGATGTGGAAGACGATGCGATTCTTGAGGTAGCTGGGGTGTACAAGGGTCGGCTTTCATGCTTGGGGGCTGAGGGGCAACGGATTTTGTACGACCGCAGCGGCAGCAGAGCTTCATCATCTTCTCGATCAAGGCGGGGAGAGGATCCACGCATCACCCAATTGCAGCGAGAATTGGAGGAGCACCAGCGGGCGTTAGGACAACAACGCAAGAAGGATGAAGAAACAAGGGCCCGGCTGGAAGCGATGGAACATATTATTGCCGGATATCAGCCTCCGCCTCAGCCTCTTCCTCGGCCGTACATGTTGCACGTTGAGCAGACTCCTCAACTTCCGCACATGGGTCATATGGGTTATCATTCTACCTCCGGATATGGTAGCATGCCTGCAATGGGGTCGACATTCGGATCTCTGTCGTCTGATTTCTTCAATCAATTTCAGTCATCCGGTGGAGGCAGCCGAGGAGGCGACCGAGGAGGCAGCCGAGGCAGCCGAGGAGGTACCCGATCCTTAGACCCCGTGGATGCTAGAGAGGATCATCTAGATTATGATGATAATGATGATAATGATGATCCTAATTTTTATCATAATGGAGTCCGACGGCCGAGCATGTAATTATACATTTTTTAAGTTTAACATTTCATATTAGTTTTATTATTAGGTCGGGCTGCCGACAGAACAAAGGTTGTACACACCTAACTGATTAGACTAGATCAATGGAGTCTGATATATCCCTGAACAAGCGGTAAAACAGGCCTCAAAGATCAAGAACCAAAAAGGAAATCCGAAAAGTACACATGAAGTTTTCAGGGAGCATCCAATTATTCGATGACCCTCTGTTGTGGGCTAAGGGAGGCTTATGTTGGAGAAATGGTTTTACAAATTAATATTATGGTCATTAATATTATTTGTAAAAATCATTTTGAAATGAATGAGAAATTGTTTCTCGAAAGATAAGTGTGAAATTGTTTAACGGCGGTAACAGTGTTTGCGTGTGAGATATAATTTCACACTTATCTTTCGAGAAACAATTTCTCATTCATTTCAAAATGAATTTTACAAATAATATTAATGACCATAATATTAATTTGTAAAACCATTTCTCCAACAATCCCCCCACATGAATGGGAAATTGGCTTAAAGACAGGAAACATATTGGAATTTGACATGGGATTATGGGAACTCTGCATAGGGTTAGGTAGTTGTGAAACTTTGAACCTACCTTAGTGTATATCCATCGGATTTATTGGACAATCGGTAGCACTTTGCTTTGAACCGTCAGCCAATGTGTAAACCTAGACAATGAATAACGTACAGAGCCCCAGGTGCATCTTTGGTTCTCACGTTTGTGTTCGTTTTGGCCTTGAACACCTCCTGGTTCAGCTAGTGTTTTCGAGAGTTTATCGTGCACCGGAGAATTTATCTCGTGCCATAAATTCTCATAGAAGCGGTCTTCTTGACTATCAGACAACCGATTACTCTATGCTGTGGACGAAGGGTGTTGAGAGCATCCGATTAACCGATGTCTCTCACTGGGTAAATGGACTAGGGCTTAAGGATTACTGGGGCGGTGGAGCGGCTGTGATGGATAGATATGTTATATAAGGACTGCTAGGGTTGGATAGGTTAGTCATTAGTGTATTAAACTTCAATAAATTGGGCACTTGGTTGTGTGAATCTAGGCTGCTACTCCGTATATAACCATGATGTCTTTGCTTAAAATGGGTTGAGTTTGTCCGAATTTTGATGGGCTATTGATTAATCTCATATTCTAGATCGATGTTAGTGTTGCTAAAATAAATCAAAATATCATGTAATGTTGGTTTTAGACTTTTGGTACATTGGAATTTTAACTAATCCGGGTTTGAGTACAGTCAAATAAAAGCTTGCATTAGGCATGGACTCGATTCTGATTTCATAATCAAGACTTGATCGGCACCACCCGATTAATAACCAGGACCAGAAAATAAGAATTTGTCCTAAGAACGGAACCGGACCGATGGGAAAGTGGTTCTGGTCCTGGTCCTGGGCTTCAATTTTTTTTAGATCAGGACCAGTCGGTACCGTGACCGTGCCGGTTTCAATTAATATTTTTTGGTTTTTTTTCCATTAAATGATTGAAAAACATTTCACTAGGGTAGATGGTCCATTTAAAAGCTTAAAAGAGGTGTAGATGAGGGTGAAAAGGGTTTAAAACTGTATTAGAAAAAAAGAACTTTATTAATTCAGGACACGAAAGATAGATGAATTATCAATCCGGGACCTGAAAGATGATATGTATCGGTATAGGACCCGAATGATGGAAAACTATCAATCTAGCTAGGACCTAACATTTCATAGGTTATGGTTTATTTAATTTTTTATTAATTCCATTGCTAGTCTTTGATAAACTTGCCTTTACAAAACTTTATTAGTTTATTAAAACTAAATGATATTTAAAATTTTCAAAATTAAAAAATTAATAAAATTCATGACAGCTTAGGCCTAGATCGATAATTTTAAATCATTAAGGTTCTATAATGATAGGTTTTCATCATTCAGGTTCTACATTTCATCTTTTAGGTCTCTGATTGATAATTCATCTATCTTTCGGGTCCTGAATTGATAAAATTCCTAGAAAAAATAAAAAATCTAGGACCGGATCGGATCATAATCGAGACTAGACCGAGACCAGTTTGGAATCGGAAAATAGAGGTCCCGGTCCTGGTCCTCCAAAATAATTTCTCAAAGACCGGCCGATCTGGGACGAGAACTGATACAGACCCAAACCGGATCCATGCCCACCTTGCATTAGTGAATTCTTGCAAATCACATTCAAATTGTGATCTTTAGCTGATTTACATTTTATCTGTGTCTACAATATTGTAAATGTTAACTTCTTCTCTTCTTAACTATATATAATTCGGTTCTCTTTTCAACCAATCATTTATACAAAATTTTTATAAATATTGGTGTTTTTATAAAATGTTTTGGGAGAACTATCAAATAAGCTCTCGAACTTTCATAAAAAGTGCAAATAAGCCCTTTTATAGGAGGCTCTGTCCGGCCGTCGCCATTTGGGACGGTTTCCGGTGGAATTTTTTGATTAAATGTTTTTAGCATCTTCTTCATTAAGTCTAGTTTACTCATAACAAATTTCAGCTAAACATTCAATCGGGAAGGCAGTCAAATGAATTTTCGAAGATAACTGCGTAGTTAGGCAGCGCAGTATGTTTCAGAAAATCATTTGACTGCCTTCTAGATTAAATTTTCATCAAAAAATTCTACCGCAAACTGCCCCAAATGGCGACAGCCGGACAAAACCTCTTGTAAAAGGGTTTATTTGCACTTTTTCCGAAAGTTCGAAGGCTTATTTGATAATTCGTTTTCAAATGATGATATATTTCAAATGTGGGTCCAATATTAAATATTATATAATCTCAAATGTTATATTTCTGTTATAATATTTACATTTTTCCTTCTTGGACGATTTTTCATTATCTTTTTAACTATGGACCCTTATTATATTACTTACCACTTTATTCTAAATTCAATTATTTATGCGTTTATATAATAGAATTCTTAATCACACGGGTGATAACTTAGGCTGTTTTTACTTGGACTGTAATTCGTCCCAGACCAGACCAGACAAGATCAGACCAGACCAAAACAGACGAGACCTGACCAGACTAAAACAGACCAGACAAGACCAGGCCATATTTTATCATCATCATCATCATCATCATCATCGTCATCGTCATCATCATCATCATTATCATTGTTGTTGTTATTATTATTAGTATTATTAGTATTATTACTATTATTACTATTATTATTTTTAATTATAAATGAATAAAATATAATTATTTATGGATTATAATATACGGAGTATATATAAAAAAATCTTCATGCAAAAAATATAAAAAATAAAAATTTCAGACCACACCAAACCAGACCATATTTATTATTATTATTATTATTATTATTATCAATATTATTATTATTATTAATATTATTATTATTATTATTATTAATATTATTATTATGATTATCATTATGATTATCATTATGATTATCATTATGATTATCATCATCATCATCATTATTATTACTCCTATTATCATCATCATCATCATTATCATCGCCGTCGTCATCTTCGTCATCATCATTAGCATCATCATCATTGTTATTGTTAGTAATATTATTATTATTATTTTTAATTATAAATGAATAAAATATAATTATTTATGGATTATAATATATATAAATAATAAAATCTTTATGCAAAAAATATAAAAAATGAAATTTCAAATCAGACCAGAAAAGACCAAAACAGACCAGACAAAACTAGATTAAAATGAATCATATACCAGCAAATCGATGCACCCAACTGACACGACAAACTCGTACCATTTCGGTACACTAACTCAAGAGCATACCTTCCAGATGTTTGTCAAAATTCCCAAGTGAAAGTTTTCCCGTAGATACTTAATCTGCATGGTGCAGCGTGCTCAATAATGCGACATGTTTTTATCAAAGTGGATGGCTAATCATCAATCCACCAATCGTTTCTTCAACAACATTGGTCAGTACTCTTAACTCCATGCCTGTTCTAATCACTGGCTCATCTTTTCAATTTATGTAAAGTGGCTATTCTCTGTGCTCGCGTAGTCGTGTGCATTAGTTTTCTTGTGCGCGTATGTTCACAGAATATTACTTCCAGACCACTCTCTGCTCCATACGCGCATTGTATGGCTGATCAGAGGATGTGCTCCGCTTCCTCTTTCAAATTTGTTGAAACACGCACATAAAAGTCATAGTTATACTGAATTCACACAACTAGGTCATGATACACATCAGCCAAACCATGCTAAAAGATTGAAACTAACCTAATATTTCTGTGACTCTTAACATTCTCATAAGTACTCATTCGGTTCAAAGTTCAAACGACTCTAAAATATTGCATCCGTCTGATTAACTGATCTAACCTGTGATCTGATAAATTCATTTTTCTTTCTGTACTACTTATATACGGATTTCTAGCAAATGCCCCCACATAATACACATTGGTTATTATAGCGTGGATTCTTGTTTTTATTGGGGTTTTTTCATTGTTTGCAGAGAGTTGTATTAGGTCTTTGAGAAAACATGAGCCATACCAAAAGAGTGTCTGCAATGTGCTCAGCCGATGCCATTCACAATGGTCAAACAAAGAGAAGTTAGGAAGTAAAGGTGTTGGAGTAGAGAGTGAAGCATCAAAACCTAAAGGCAGACACACTGATCTTGAGTCCAGGTGCAACACTTACAATCTTGAAAATGATAATTATACTATTGAGACTAACATTTTCCCATTATTAGCATATGTGGTGTTAAAGGGGAGCCTCGGCGCACCCGTTACGGTGTTGCTGTGTGACCGATAAGTCATAGGTTCAAGTCTTGGGAGCAGCCTCTTTTCAAAATGAATGATAAGGGAAGTCTTGCTCCTTATACACCCTTGTGGTGGGACCCTCGCCTTGTGGAGAAGCCAATGCGCACCGGGCTGCCCTTTTATTAAACATTTGACGTGGGTTTGCCTTCTAGGACCCATGCATATTCTCTTTATTATCACACATTGTCATTGTAATACATATACACATGGGTGCTCAATAAAGGTGTCCAGAAAAGTATTATCTCTTTATACCAATTTCCTTTCTCTCATCAATGGTTCTTGATTTAACATATATCAGCAAAAAGTGGACATTTGAACCTGTTTGGCTTTCTAAAGCTATAGAGTCTGCATTTCAACTATGTAAGTGTGGGCTTTAACTTCTGGTCTGCTTTAGTTGTCGGTGAAAACACATCTATAATGTTAGATAAGGCAGAATTAAGTACTTTAGAGAATATAATTGTTTTATTTCCTTTGAAATTTGAGTGAACACTTCATCATATTTTTAACAGTACGAGTATGTTCGGATCACCACAATCATAGGGTATATTTCCTCGATTTTACCTTGCAAAATGCAAATTAAAATGGCATTTGATTAATTTAAAAAGAAACTATATCTAGTATTAATATACTCTGTATATAAACGCATAAATAAAAAAGGACTATCAAGTGTCACTAAAGATTATAAATCAGTTTATTTAGTTAATTAGTTTTGGCCTATCCATCATTTCCCTGCACATGTTCTTACCTTCTAATTTATCCTCCACGAAGGGGAGCCTTGGTGCACCGATTACGGTGTTCCTCTGTGACTGAAAGGTCACGGGTTCAAATCTGGGGAGCAGCCTCTTGTAAAAAATGACAAAGGAAGACTTGCTCCTTATACACCCTTGTGGTGGGACCCTCTCCTTGCGGGGATGCCAATGTGAACCAGGCTGCCCCCTATATTCTTGGGATTCCATAGGGATCATAATTGACTGACCTCTTTTGCTTTCCTTTGTGTTTAACTATATACATCTTTAGAAGTCAAACAATCTTAATCACAATCTAACAATGTTTATTATTACACATTCCTCAATCCTGACTGCTGCCTTTTGGGTTTCTAAAGTAATTCTATATTTGTAATTTAAAATTGGGTCCTACAGAATTGATTCTATTAATTTCTGATCTTCTTTTGGATGGGAATGGAATGTGTGTAAGGGAATGGAATTGGAGACAAACCGCCACCCATCAATATGTCTCTTACAGAGATCTACGCTAGCATTCAGCGGAGCAAGCTGGGTCTTCAAGACTGGAGTCTTAGTGATCTTACCATAGGCCTTTATCTTATATATCTCCAACAAGCATCCACCAAGCCTCTCGAGGATATAAAGGGTGAACCGATATCTTCTGAACGAATTGTAATTTCAAACTCCTTACCATCTTTCATTTTACATTCAGTATTTCAGTTTGGTTTTAAACCTCAGCTTATTCAGCTTATTCTACTCATAAGCCGAATAAGAATCTAATGGCTTAGTTATTTGGCTGGAATGGATGTTACCATAAACTTTTCCTTACAGAAGATTCAGCCATTTCAGCCAAAACGCATACCAAACAGGCTCTTAATAATCTTGTTTTATTAGGTCCATGATCTTAAGTACCACAGTGAACTAGCAAAGGGTGCATACAGAGATAGTACTGCTTGCCTGGCAAGGAACACTATGCTTAGAGAAACTGATATTGTGAAATTCATAAAAGTCTCAAGCTTGTTAAGGCCAGGATATTACATTGCAGTTGACAAGAGAAGAAGACTGGTCATTCTGGGAATTCGTGGAACAGATACAATTTATGACATCATAACCGATATTGTTTCATCAAGCAATGAAGAAATCACATTGGAAGGCTACTCAACACATTTTGGGAGTGCTGAGGCTGCTCGTTGGTTTCTTACTCATGAGATGGAAACTCTAAGGAAATGCCTTCAGAAACACAAGGTGATCCAAATATCACTATTTTGTTTTTGCAAAATGAATGGTGTTCCTTCCATCTCTGCCTGCTCTCCCACTCCTCCAAAGTCCAAATGACTCGTATTTCATAAAAAAGCTAATTTTAATGTTATCTTCCAAAAAAGAGTTAGATACAAGTTAAATATGGTAAGTTTATTTAAACTAACGATCAATTTTTACAAATATTAGCCTGATATCATGATTTTAACTTTATATCTTGCCAAAACATAAAAATTGTACATTGAACAAATATGGCTCATTTTTTCTGCAGGCAGTAAATGTTACTACCTACACCACTGTATAAAATCCTAATATGACTTTTTTGCTCTTTCACTTCTTAAGCTTCCATTATACTACTTGATGGAAGAAAATATGTTGGTAGTAGGGATATTAAATGAAGGTAGGAATGTAAATGAACAACACTAATCAAACAAAAAAGATGACTTTATATGGGGATGGGCAGAAAAGGAAAATAGGAACAATGTTCAGGGACGGAGGCATTGGAGGGTATTTTTTATTTAAAACGAGAAAAAGTAGTCAGCCTAGTTTCTGTTTGCATTTTTTACTTATTTAGTTATTTGCACAACTTTTTACTGAGACTAATCCATATACAGGGGTTTAGGATAAGGCTGGTCGGTCATTCTCTTGGGGGTTCAATAGCATCCTTGTTGGCAATAATGCTCCATAAAAAATCACAGCAGGAGCTTGGATTCGACCCTGATATTGTAACCGCAGTTGGAATTGCAACCCCACCTTGCGTCTCCAGAGATCTTGCTGAAAAGTGTCATGAGTATGTTGTAACCGTGGTTATGCAGGTCAGTTTGAGTGGTGGCAATTTTGGTTTTAGCTGTTCTTATTCCGATAAAATTTGTTAAAACCATATTCTTAAGCATTTTTGAAATACAATACATTGGGTGCAGGATGACATTATTCCGAGGCTAAGTGTTGCTTCTCTTACAAGGCTACGGAATGAAATTATTCAAACAGACTGGTGAGAGAACAGTTAGGTTGCAGAGACACTAATCATTCATGGGAGTCCTTAAGATAATCATAGGCTGTAGAGTATAAATTTTTGTGCCATGAATACTTCTCTGCTGCAGGTTGAGGCTTACCATATGTTATTCAATTAAAAGCTTCAACTAAGTTCAGTTTGGATGAAGGGTTTTGGAGGGCAGAGACCATCCTTCATATGCAATTGATATTTTATAAAAATTGAAGGCATAACATAACTGATCATACTACGTATAACATATCAATCACCATTTTATTTGTTTTTTAAACACTGTAGTTTGAAAATATTTTAGTCCCACTCTTGTTAGGTCATTTTCACTTTTGATCCTTAGACTTTCTTTCTTTTCACTTTTGGTACACGACTATTAATTCTTGCCACTTCTGATCACTCTTTTGGCCATTTTTTGTACAACTCTGGTTGATTTTTGCAGGATAAGTGATTGTTAGGATCACAAGTGCCTAGAAAGCGAGAAGTTCATAGTCTAAAATAGTGAAAGTGACCCAATAACTGCATGACAACAATGGAGTGTTATCTTTACTTTGTTAAGATATAGACTAAAATAATTCAAAGTCTGCTCTCCAAAGTCCTGCATCCACACTTACCCTTATACGACCTTTCCACAGTTGTAATTTAGGGCTTGTCATAATCTCTTGGGCTTTATTTTTTTTTTAAACAAATGTCGTCAATGTTTAAAAACATTAGTCAGATGTACTGAAAATATTAATTGGCTTTCCCTCAACTCTGTGCTTTGATGTAGGGGGGATGTGTTTGAAAAGGGAGACTGGAAAGGTGTGGTTGATTTGTTCACAAATGCAAGGCAGGTTGTCTCTTCCATCCATGATGTTGCCCGGAAGCTGGCTGACTATGCCAAGTCCAGAGGCCAAACAGGGCACTCTGGTTAGTTTCAGTCCCCAAATATCTCTCCAATTGATTTTCTTAAATTTATACACCGTTGTGCTGGGACCCTTCCCTGGACCCTCGCCTTGTGTTAATGCCTTCATGCACTGGGCTTCCCTTTTTTCCCACCCATGTGTTTATCAGCATCTGCAAAAAATGCTCCAATATTAAGCTGAAGTGTTTTCTGATGGTTGTAGTCTCCTAGTGCCACTTTGGTAGGAGAATGTATCAGCTCATGAGCTGATCTTGTTTTAAGTGCGAACTTATTATTCTTTGGCTTCTTTGGCGCAATCGGTTGCTAATGGAAAAACGTAGAGCTGGAATGAACACTGTTTGGAAACTCTTCACAAGAGGAGGGGAAGATAAGAATGATTTTAATTTTTTATTTTCCTTTCATATAATCACCTCCTCTTTTTATATTGAGGTAAAATGAGAAAGGAAGGGGGAAGTAGGTGGGCGTTATTTTATGATGTAGATCCTTCATTTTTGTGAAAAATAAAGTCATAAGATTTTTCACGCTTTTAACATCATATGTACAAAATTAACTTTTTCATGTTTAAAAAGTGATAAAAAGATAAATGTTTAAATATAATGATAAAAAGGTAAATTTCATAACGAGCAGTGGTTTTTCCTTCTATTCTGGAGAGAAAGAGGACACAAATAAGGTCTATTTTCATTTCAATCCTTGGTTTAAGATCTAATTTTCTCTCATTTACAAAAGAAAAGAAAATTCAAATGTTTTCTATAAAGATTATGATTCAGCCCATCCAACTACAATTTCAGCTATTGCAACCAACTTCTATTTCACCAAACAGGCTCTTGTAATTCCGTATTTGACTGAGTGATCAATTATTTACTTGGTAAGTAACTATGGGTTTCAGGTGCTCTCCCGGAAAAGGAAGTCACAACCGCTTCAAGTGTGCCACCTGCCTCCATGTCAGCAAGCAATACCTCTTCACTTGTAAAGCATGAAGATGAACTATTTGTACCCGGGAGCGTATATTATTTAAAGAGGAATAATACCGAAAAGAGAAACAGTGATCATCAGTCTATAGAGTTCTTCACGCTCTGGAAAAGATACCCGGGGGAACATTTCCAGAGGATACTCCTCTCCAATAATATTATCTCGGACCACAAATGTGATAGCCATAATTACGCATTGCGGGATGTACTTAAAGGTATCATCCCTGCTGGTACTCCTGATGAAGCCATTTTCAGATAGTTGGTATTCGTTTATGTCGAGAGAAAGACATAATGAGAGTGGTAAATACAGTTAGATCATTTATGTATGATGAAGTAAAGGATGTGTTGTTGCAAATACAGAGTTGTGTTTGTTTTTATACTTAGGTTGCTTAAAATTCTCACAATTAAGTAGCCGCTAGAATTGTACTTTAGTTAATCAAATGAAGTAAAGAATGTGTTGTTGCAAATACAGATTTGTGTTTGGTTTTATACATGGTTGATTAAACCTCTCACAATAATTATCCGTTAAAACTGTTCTTTAGTTAATCAAATGAACAATGTTAATAACAAGAAAAAGTAAAGTTATACATACACAAGAAAAAGTAACGTTATTTTTTCAAACAAATTTATGATTATTATAACAAAAAACTTATCTAGGTAAAGGTAGTATACAGAAGTAGGATACAAAACATATTGTATACATAAATTATCAATTTCTCATCATTCTAAGTGCCACAGCTTGAAGGTCTCCCAAATCAGTCCTCCTACTGCCACTACAGTTGATGTTGTTATTGGTACCATAATGATAATTGTGTTCACCTTGATCGTCTGTTGTAATCGGTAGCTTCATCTTCATTCTTTCTTGCTTCCCTAAACTCATTCCTTCATCGAACAGATCGAAGAAGCTCTGTGGGGAGCCCACTGAATAAGCTGCAGCGGTAGCTGCCACCCCCGCGGTCGTTCCACCTGTGGTATAAACCGCGAACTGGTTTCCCGCATTATTGTTGCATCCCAAGTTGTTGTTACTATGGAGAACTTGAGCTAGTTGAGCCTTCACTTGCAACAATTGAGCTTGCAAACTCGCCACCTAACCCATATAATTATTAACACTCATTGTGCCCAAAAGAAAACTAAATTGTATGCTGATTAATATTTGAAGATGATGATAGTAATAATAATAATAATACCAACAAAATAGGTATTGCTCTAAATAAGAGTAAAAAGAAATGTAATTTTTAAATGGGTATTATGATTTTCTTCCTAAATATGAGTAATTACTGCCAAATGGGGTGAATTCACTTTCTCAGTTTCTACTTTGTGAATTTCAGAGGCTTCTTGCCTCTTCTTTGGGTAACTTGACTTAGACACCCATAAATGAAACAAAAGTTGATACGAAGAAAACATGAATTTCTGAGTCAGGTGATAGACAAGCTCATCCTGGATGGGATTTTCCAGATCCTACAGCTCATTATGTTGAAGCTATTGCTTATGAGGGAGGTTATGATGTTTCGGACTTTTCATATTCTCATTTAGGGGATGAATTTATTGGACATGTCTCAGAGAACGAGAAGAGTGTTCCCATCTCGATAGAGAGCGACCTTTGGGACTCGGATACTAATGAGGTTATTTGCCAAAAAGCTTTGTTGGTTACACAAAAAAAACTGTTTGTCTACTCAAAATCTAAACACACAGAAGGGCATGTACAAAAAGAAGAATCAATGATCACATCTTATGAGTACTAGGTCTCAAACACAAGTGGAGCTTTGAAGATTTGACTGAGGGCTATGTTGTTGTTTTTAGGGAGGGATTTATAGTAATTCTTTGGGTTGGGGCTTAGGGATCTGTTTATCTTTTATCTTTTTGTTTGATTTCCTTTTAGTATTTCTTATTTTTCTTTTTCTTTGTTTCCTTGTAACTTCTTCCATTTCATTTTAAATAAAGTTTTGTTTCTATTATATAAAAAAATCATGGGTAGCATCCGGTGAAAGTGTGAATCTATATGTACTTGTGGGTCAGTTGTATGTCATGCTCCAAATCCCCAACTCCAAGCTAGGACCTTTCACGTCTCTACCCGACAAGGCATCTAGGAGGCCGTAAGTCACCGTGATTTAGTCAGCCTAATGGTGGTAGACCTCGTACTCATGCGCACCAGAGATCCAATTCAGCACACAGGAGTTGTACCTCCACACGAACGTTGCGGGTTTCAATCCTTGATCAATTTAAAACACCCAGAAGTTCTTCTGAAGGAGCAGAAGCAGTTTTAAAAAGTAGATTCAAACACCCCCTAAATTTTATGTAAGAACATCAAACATCCTTTTAAAAAGGATGTTGCTTTAGAAGAAAATGTAATAAATCAGCTAGACAAAATTTTAAATGTTTATAACTCTAATTTTAAGTAGAGCATAACAATCTTAAACAAGAAATAGTCCAACAAAACATTGTAGTAAAGTAATAACAAAATAATGAAGGAAAATATTTCTAACTTCCAAGAGTGAAAATTGAAGGAATATCATCGAAGGGTAGCAAAAGTACCCTTACATGGGCAGGGCCGGTTCTGGGGGGGGGGGGGGGGGGGGAGGGACGACCGCCCTACGCCCGTAAAAAATAGAAGAAAAAAGATTTTCAAAAGAAAATTTAGTGTTGTTATATGTGGCAATTTAGTGGAAAGAAAGTTGCCTATAAAGCAATTATTGATAATTTGATTCACATTGTTCTACGAGGAATGTTTTTAAGTAATGTTTTTTCTTTTTATTCGATACTCGTGTTGTTACTTTTGCCCAAATATGTAACTTAAATAATAATAAAGTGATTCTCATCTTTATTTTATGAACTTCATTGCCCAAATATGATTTATTATTTGTCATGGATATAAGCTCAAAATAGCGTACCGCAATAGACCCAAAAATGGACATGACCGGTCATGTACAACGATCAGGTCGAGTAACATCAATTTTAAGACTCAAGGATTAATTGTGAGTCAGTACTGATGAGGCTGACTGTGATCAGATCCGGATTAATTGTCTAGGAGCTTTGGAGGGTAGTTCATAGACTTCAAGATTATGAGAGCGTAAGTTCTGACACCTGGATTATAAAAAAAAAACTCCTACTTCCGTAACCCTACCTTTATGTGAATATATAAATTTAGCCCGTAATTAATATTTTAGGACAAATAACTGACTAAAAAAGCTGGAATTTTGGAGTAGAGTTGGTCGGTAAAAAAGTCTGATAATCTTTTATACAATTTGTTAGAACATAAATATTACTTTACAAATTTGAAATGGGTCGTGATCTAAAAAGGACCCCCTGATTACACGGTTACACCCTTGTACAGAAGTTAGGTACAATCGGGGGCGGAGTTAGGGGTGTCCAGGTTAGGTCATGACCCACTCCAAATTTACAAAATGCCAATATTTTTAGTGTAAAAAATTTCGTGTAAATTTTTTTCCAATAATATTCTTTGTACCGGTCCAGTCTGGCCCAGTGCCCTGACTCCGCCCCTGGGTACAATCTAAAATGCACCATGTAAAGAAAATTAATAATTCTTTGAATTTTAAAAAAATGGCCAAAATACATGCAATTATAAGATCAACCTATTTTTACTTTTTGAAGATCAAAATACATTATTAAGAGCGTCATTACGATCAACACTCGCTAACACTTTTTAATGCTTTATCAACTTTAGTTTGATTTTTTTTTATTTGAATTAAATAAATGATTAAAGGGCTTTTTCCTTGAATATTACCAAATTGAAGCTAATTTCCAAAAATGTGACCATTTTTTAAAAAGGACAAAAATGTGACTAAGAAGGTCACATATTTGGAAAACATGATGTCACTGTTATTTTTTATGTCACTTTCGAATTTTTATGTCACTGCTATATGTCACAACCAGATTTTTATGTCACTTTAAAGATGTCACTACCGGTCTTCATGTCACTTTCATATGTCACTGTACCGAGAAACGTGTCACTATGTCGTCGCAAAAATTTTCGGTGACTTTTCCCATCAAAATTTTTGCCGGAAACCACCCCTGCCGCCTCGACACCGTCTCCATCACGAGAGACTGCCCATGGCCCCTTACTCCAGGTCTCCAGCCCCAGCCCCTCCCCTGCGCCCCCAGCTCCCTCCCCTTCACCCTGTCCCCCTCCCCTGCCCTAGCCCCCTTCCCCTGTGTCCCCTGCCCCCTCACCTTCTCCCCCTGCCCCCCTGCCCCATTGCTTCACAGCCCCATCTATTGACAACCCCGCAACACTGTCCAACCACCACAATCGCCGCCCCTATGCCTTCCCCAATCCCTCTCCAGTGCGCCTCCATAGCCTCCAAGCCCCATCCTGATACAACAACCCTAACCGCAAACTACAGCAATCGCTCCATTGAAGCGGTGGCGGATGTAGCCGATGACAACGACGGATCTGACCGAAGTTGATAATTGAATAGTTATGAGTTCAGATCTTGTTGCGATTGAGTTCTAGGGAGAGAAGGCGGCGATGACGGTTTGAATTTCAGAGGAGAAGGCCGCGACCTACAACAATCGCTCCATCCAACAGATGCGAGGAACTTGCAGAAGTTGGTGTGTTGCGTCAGCGGCTCTCAGCGGTGGCGGCGATTGTATTTCAGAGGAGAAGGCCGCGACCTACAACAATCGCTCCATCCCCTTCACCATTTCCAGATAACAGTGACAATGAAAACATCAATTCATCCACTCCATCAACTGTAACCATCGCACCATTCTGGTCGCCTCTGCGTCATCCCGGCCGCCCATTACCGCCGTCGTCGACAACTCCTGCACTACCCTCCTCAGCCCCCAAACCTTCCCTCCCCATCCCCTCCTTACCTTCCCCTGGCCCAAATCCCATCCCACTGCAATACGCCCAACCAACCCCAACCCTAGACATTTTCATCTAGATCTGGACCGCTGTTGATGTTCCTCCTCGCCACCGGAGAGCCGCACTGCCTAGAAAACGATGACGTCACAAATTTGGACCGTACTGCGCAGGTAGAGGACCGGAAGAGGACGACGAAGACTATGGCGGCGGATCTGTCCGTGGCCGGTGATGACGATGGTGACGGCTCTGTCCTTGGAGGCCGCTTATGGCGGCAGCTCTGTTCTTGGAGGCCACTGATGGCGGTGGCTCTGTCTGCGAAGGGCGAAAGCGGTGGCTCTGTACGCAGATAGTGATGGCGGCGGCTCTGTACGCAGAGGGAGTGGGGAGATTGTGTTATGCTCCTGGGGATCTGTCTTCGAAAGGAAAGAAAAACCCCTCCAGGGAAGATCGTCAACGATTGCAGAAGAAAAGAAAAGCCAAAGGCGGTGGTTTAATGGGTCACTTTTTTGGCTAATTCAATTTTGGTCATATTTTTGTACAATGAAACTTGATTAGTAATAACTGTGCCATTCTTTCATGATGGGCTAAATGTCTTTAGACCCTAAACAAATGTCTTGGCTACCGGCCAATATGGCCCGCTCTGCATAGGCATAATGAAAA